GGGCAATAGGCGAGCCGAGGCGGGGCGCTTTGTATCGAAGGAGTGGCGGCGCTTTGGGTTCGCCCGAGCAACTAGGGCACGAGGCGAGGGAATATAGGCGAACCAAAGCCGGGCGCTTTGTATCGAAGGCGAATGGTGGCGCTTTGGGTTGCCCAAAAGACTAGGGCACGAGGCGAGGGAGTTGAGACGAGAAACTAGTGCGCCCGGGTAAGAAAGGCGCCCGATAATCAATTGTTAACGATTTTTGGCGCCTTGAAGGAAGTTTAAGTAGAGTACTAGCACAATGCGCCTAGGTGCGAAGGGAAGGCGCTGCTTAAGAAGCAGGAAAGCCGAACTCCGTGCGCCCCGAGGAGAGATGATGGGGGGTCCGATGGTTGGGGGGCAAACGATTGCCGTGATAAAAGTGGGAAAAGAAAGAGCAAAAGCCTAATAGTTAGGCGCTCAAAGAATCGAAATTTGAGCACCTAACTGGGGGGCAATTGTTGGGGGTATACGAATAAGGAGGCCCCGATGTATGTATAAGGCCCATTAAAGGGGCGTGAAGCCCAAGTAGGTCGAGGAAAGGTGAGCCCATTCAAGATGGTGTAGGCCATGATAGGCGCCCTCGGGCTTAGATCAGGAGCAAGTTGGGAGTTGCATACACTAGGCGCCTAGGAGTACTCGCACAGTAGGTGCCCGGGTATGCACGGGGGAATTGTGGACACTCGGAGAGGGCGCCTGGAATCTTCTTCGGAGGAAGCGCCCTGGGTCATCCGCATTAAATGTAGGGCTGACGTGGAAGTCCGTACGAGAAGGTCCAGGTAAGCAGTAATTGGCTATAAATAGGGAGGTGGGTAAGCATTTACTCAATTTGGCTTCTCTCACTAAAATTGTGCATTGTAAGCACTTCTCTCACTAAGAAAGTTACTGACTTGAGCGTTGGAGGACTAACGGGCCACAAGGCCCACCTCTGTGAGTGCAGGCTTAATCGTGAGGGAGTCAGCGGGTACGGAAGAAAAGTAGGCCGATCGAGTGGGCATCAACAAAAATGTTGGTTTTCTCTTAATGTTTTTTTTTCTTTTAATGTTTTCCGAAAAAAAAAAGAGTTAGCGGCAGATCATTCAGCTGTTAGATAGATGACGATTAGATGTGAAAATCAAGATTGCTTAACCAATTATACCTATATAATCCACTGATATTGGAAATTGCTATAAACATTTCAACTATCTACCATATAAAACTCAATTGGGCCAACTCATGAATTTTCGTCAAATTAGACAATCAACATCATTGATCATTAGCAGGGTCGTCCTATAAAATTTGGAGATCCTGTTCGACAATTTAAAATGTGGCCGCAAAATTTTTTTCTCACAAATTATTTGACTAAAACATCTTGAGAGGCCTGTGTATTGTTCTCTTTTATTAGACTAGAACATCTTGTGAGGCCTAATGTTGTACTTTCTCAATTGTTAGAGTACTCTATTTCAGCATGTGAAACTCGTGTGTTGTAAGGATTGATGACTTACAATTTATTAATTAATGTGGTTCATAATTTTTCATTAATAGCAATTTCAATATTTGTACAGGTAATAATACATTGATGTTATAGAAATAACAAAAAAATTGGCACTAAATATTGTTTCATAGCCCTTTGTTAAACCTTTTCACGAGGGTTATTTCGTCGTTATTATATACTCTTTAACGAGGAGCAAAGCTCCTCTCGTTAAAGCTTTTAACGACGGGGTGACAGATTCTCGTCGTTATTGACTTTTAACGGCAAAGCCTGTAATGACGGGCAGAGTCTCGTCGTTATTGATCTTTTACGATGGGTTTTATGCTTTTAACGACCGTTTTCTATCCTCGTTGATATCTCTTATTTTGGTAGTGATAAGTTCAGAAAATGATTACAAAAGTAATAATATTATTACTGTCCATCCCTACTATCCATATTAGAATTGGGTGTGAATAATTCATATTTAGGCGTTGTATCAATTTCTCCATACAAATTATCCATACAATAAAATACGAGTATAGAAAATTCAAACAAATCACAAATTATCCATACAAATTGTAAATTAGATTGAGGGAAATTAGAATTAGGGTAGAGTTTGGAGAGAGTAGGCGATGAAATAAGTGTGGGCGGGTACTCATTGGCCGAGTATCCCTAAACCCAACCTGGTAAAAGTGTAACGAGTTTAAACTCGAACCCGGCCCAAAACCCGCCAACATGGATTTTACCCGCGTTAACCGGGTTGGGTCAGGTATGGTACCCATGAGTTCGGATTTTGTTGCCATTCCTAGTGGGAATTGTTGGCAGCCCAAATGGGCCTCCAAAATTATGGATTATGTGGGTCTTGCTGGCCCAAGTGGGCCTACGGATTTATGTATTATGAAGCTTCAAATATGGATGAATTACACATTTGGTCACTCGAATTACATTAATCTTTCACGTTTGCCACTCGAATTACTTTCCTTTCATATTCACCACTAACTTTACAAATCGTTTCAGCATAGTCACCGACCGTTAGTCTCCGTTAACTCCGTCAGTTTTTTGATGACGTGGCAAACAGAATTGTTGACTGGACCGTTAACTTTATGACATGTCAATTAAAAAATTAGACAAAGCAAGGAGAAGTGGGTCCATCATAATAAAACACCCAATGAAAGAATGGCATGTATGTTCTTCTTCGCCACCGCCTCGCTCCGCCAACCCTTCGAAGACCTTCGCAAAGCTTCCAGACCGGACTGCCTCCTCGCCGACATATTCCTCCTCTGGTCCACTGATTCTGCGGGCAAATTCAGAATCCCCATACTAGTCTTCCACGGCACTGGCTTCTTCTCACTCTCCGCCACCGCGAGACGATCCGGATGCACGAGCCTTACAAAAGGTTCTCCCCGGATTCAGAACCGTTCCTGATCCCAAACCTCCTCGAAGAAATTTCGATGCCCTGGAAGCAGCTGCTGCCTGCCGGAGTACGCGAGGTAGGATGGGGAATCGGGGTTCGGGAAGTTGATGAAATCGGTCAGGGAGTCGGAACTAAAATGATACGACGTGATCGCCAACAGTACCGATCTTTTCTCTCACGACAAAATTTTGAGACCAGACCCCCTTCGTTGCTTCATTCATCTCCAGAAACAAAGAATTCAAATTTCCCACTTAATTAATTACCGCCTCAGCTTTGTCGCAGTTAAAAGTGGAGAGTAACCCGGTTACTTTCTGGACATCAGATCAACAAATCCCTCTTTCCGCCACCAAAACTCACGTCTCCAGAATCTTCTATACTTTACCTCTTTATATATTTGTTTGTTTAGTTTTTAGTTCCAACTTTAGTTTTTGAGCGGGATTATGCCGTACTGCAGAGCCTCTCTCGGAGACGAGCTTGGCACATTGATCCCCTGTCTCTTTGAAATAACAACAGGGTAAAGGAATCATAAAGGGGGAAAGAAGCTTTAAAGTGCCTGAAATTGCTCGCTTGTAAAGGAATCGGGTCGGTCATTTACATTTGATTTGGGAGCATGTCGACGTTCAGGGCAGAGCAACTAAGGGAGATTGAGATCTAATTGGAAGCTTCGGGAGGGACGAGAGCGACGAGGAAGAATGGCTGCGGCAAGAATTTGAGACGAGATTGTGAGGGAAAGGGATGGTGACGTGGCCTATGTTCACCGAGAAGCTTCTGACGGAGGTGACGGTGGGGGCGAAGGAGTGGGTGAGGCTGCTAGGGCGGTGAGGAAGGGGATGCTCTAGGGATGGCGGCGGGGAGGCAGGGGAGATGAGGAAGAATTTTTTTTTAATGTTTACTTTTTATTTCATTGGCTGTTTTAATATGGCGGGTCCACTCATCTCCTCTCTTTTTGTCTATTTTTTTAATTTTTAATTGACATGTCATTAAGTTAACAGTCTAGTCAGCAATTCCATTTGCCACGTCATCAAAAAACTGACGGAGTTAACGGAGACTAACGGTCGGTGACTACGGTGAAACGATTCATAAAGTTAGTGGTGAATATGAAAGGAAAGTAATTCGAGTGGCAAACGTGAAAGATTTATGTAATTCGAGTGACCAAATGTGTAATTTGGCCAAAAAAAATAGGAGAGGTGTTAGTTTCAATATAACTTTGGTTTGGGTCTTAAAATCGAACCAAATCATATTTCGGTTCAAATTCGATTGGGGTCATGGACTGATTCGGGGACCCGTTATGCTCAATTTTGATTTGGTAGAAACCCAACCGAACCGATGTCCACCCCTACTCCCATACATGTTATTCCATCAAGGGGTTCTAGGTGGATTAAATTTTGAGTCGTGACATTATGCAATCTCTCGCAAAAACTCTTCAGTCATGTACGCTCCACCTCGATGGAGCTCAAATGCTTTAAAACCTTTACTTGATTCTGGTAATCTCCACCTTGATCGAGCCAAAATGCTTTAAAACTATTACTTGAATATTCTTCAACTTTGCAAATGAAGTCAGATTGGTTCCTCATCAAGTATGCATATTCCTTTCTTTTGTCATATCATTAGTTAGAAGCTTAACTTAATCACTTAGAGATTTCGATATCTTCAAATTTCAACTTCCCTATCTCAACATTATCATGAAATTTGGGAAGTCTGAATGCAATGGAACAAATAACTTTAAAAGCCAGAAACAAAAAGGGCGATGTGATCAAACCCATAGATATTGAACACAATGTCCCGGACGGCGTCGTCTAGCGGAAACTTTGCTCCGCAGAAAACAAAAAATAATTAAGAGAAAGATCCCGTTGGGCCAGCGATCATGGGGCCCAGCCAGATTCTCTGCCTTGTTTACTAAAAACTTGGCGGCCACCACTCCGTCCAAATAAATTTCCATTTCAACACCTGATATTATCCAATATGCCCAATTCACTCCCTCTGACGTCTGACCGCTAACATTTTTTCACTCTTCCGTTAAGGTAACTGCAGATCTCTAATCTGCAATTCCGCACCCTCCTTACGTGGCGGCATCTCATTCATCCGTCGCGGATTCTATTCCGTCGTGAGCTGTGACGTGAAACTTAGACGCGTTAAAGAAGAGGAAAAAAAAAAGAGGCTCTCTCTCTCTGCCTCTGCATTTCTTCTTCTCTCTCAATCGGCTTGGCTAGACTCTTCCAGCTCACTTTCTCCGGCCGACCCGCCGGTAATCTGGGCCGTCTGAATTAGAAGATTCTCGAATCACCCAGCCAGCCAAACATATTTTTTTTAGGAAATCCGCCATTAAAACTCCGTTAGTGGGGACGGACGCAATTCAGTTGGTTTTGGGATCAAAGGAGAGAGAAAGAGAGAGAAGGAAAGTGAGACAGAGAGAGAGAAAGAGAGAGAGATATGGGAGTGGATTACTACAAGGTGCTGAAGGTGGCGAAGAGTGCGACGGAGGATGACCTGAAGAAGTCGTACCGGCGGCTGGCGATGAGATGGCATCCGGACAAGAATCTGGTGAACAAGAAGGAGGCGGAGGCGAAATTCAAGCAGGTCTCCGAGGCGTACGACGTGCTGAGCGATCCCCAGAAGCGGCAGATCTATGATCTCTACGGGGAGGAAGGTCTGAAGACGTTCGATTTCCCTCCGCCCGACGACGTCCCATCCGGGGATTCGAAATTCAGGTTCAATCCCCGCGATGCGGAGGACATATTCGCGGAATTCTTCGGTGGATCTGGCGGCGCAGGCGGCGGCGGGGTTGGTGGAGGCGGCGGCGGGGGGAGTGGGAGGAGTCATCATCATCATAATCATAATAATCGGAGGAATGGGGAGACCCCAGGGAATCATCATCACCATCATCAGGGGAATAAGAAAGCTCCGGCGATTGAGAGCAAGTTGGCTTGTAGCTTGGAGGATCTTTACAAAGGGGCAAGACGAAAAATGAAGATTTCCCGCAACGTTCCTGATGAATTCGGGTTAGTTATAAAAACAACTTTCACCCCCGTTTCCGTTCTCTCTTTCTTGCTGACTTTTCGAAATCTGGGCCTTCCCTTTTCTGTGAAAAATCATTAACAAAGGAAATAAAAACAGCGATGCTTGCTTCGAGTTCATCAATGGTCGGCTGGTCTATTTGTTTCCCTTTCTATTCATTATAATCTTGATTCTTTTTGGGAATGTAAATTTCATCCTGGATGGAATGATATCTTCTTGTCTCAACTGGGTTGAATTTCGATTACTGTGTTGGACTTTCCATTTTCAACCGCACCTCTTTAAAATGTGACTGTGGCCTCTGTAGTTAAGATTATCTTTGGTGGTCTCCATCAACCAAATCTGCTTTCCTCACATTCTTTTTGCAGCTTTTGGCCAATTGGGGTTTCGTTCAATAGAGAAATAGGGAAATGTATGACGTGATGGAATGTATCGTAGGCTGGCTGGCCGGCCGGCCGGCTGAAAAAGAATTGAAATTTATAATTCCCCTAAACTGCTAAGCTGTTCTAAAGTATTCATGTTATTGCTTGGGTTTCACACTACTAACTTTTCCCCCTTGCACAGCAAGCCAAAGGCTGTGGAGGAGATCCTAAAGATAGATATCAAACCCGGGTGGAAGAAAGGAACAAAGATCACATTCCCTGAGAAAGGTAATCAGGAGCCTGGTGTTGGTGCAGCTGATCTAATATTCGTGGTGGATGAGAAGCCACATGCTCTGTTCAAGCGGGATGGGAACGATCTTGTGGTTCATCAAAAGATAACCCTGCTAGAAGCTCTCACTGGAAAGACTGTTGTGTTGACAACCTTGGATGGGAGATTCCTCACGGTTCCGGTGAATGAGGTCATCAAACCGGGCCATGAAGTTGTGATTGAGAATGAAGGAATGCCCATCTCTAAAGAGCCTAACAATAAAGGGAACCTAAGAATCAAGTTCGATGTCAAGTTCCCAGCAAGATTGACAGCAGAACAGAAGTCCGATCTAAAACGGGTACTGGGTGGTGGTCCGTGATGCAAGTGCCAACCTTTTCCATTGACACTGATCTTGCAACGTAAGTTCGTTTGGTCGGATGTAAATACTATCGTGTTTTCTAATGCTTGTTAGAAGGAAGAAGGTTGTGCATAGTAGGAAGGAAAATGTTGTAAGGTGTTATATTTTCCAGCGTAATGTGGCCTCCTCTTGTTCTAGGGTAATTCTCTTGGCTGCCACAGGGTTTGCTTTTGTGCTTTCTAATTTTAATTTTGTATACTCAAGAGTCCTAATCTTAGCCTCTCTTCCCCTGCAAATGAAGGGGAAGAAGAACCTCTTTTGATCTGTTTTTCCACATCTGGATATTTCATCTGAATATGTTTTACATACTGGAGTGTGGAAATTGTATAACTATCAGATATATCTGAGCTGAATAATTTTGAACAGGGAGAGGCTGTACAAATTGGCCTAAGATTTGTCTGCTGACTTCGTGACTGAGACATCGACGTACCAGGGTTATTTTGGACAGGAGGAATTGATATGACTACTAAGATATTGCTCTACTTTGGCCTCAGGATAAGATTGCCATTTGCCATGATTGGCCTAAGTTTTATTCTTCTGATGCTCCTTTTGCCTGTGCGATATGCCTCTAAACATGTTCAAAGGCTCTTCAGTCAGTTCGTCAGAATGCTTGGACCTTTTTACAGCCTATGCTTTTCAATCTTGTTCCGGAGTTCGGTCTTTTTGACTCCTGCCACCTTCTCGACCTCTTTCCCAGTCTTGATCAGCGCAAATGCAGGCATTATCTGGACATCATATTGGCGAGCCACCAACTGCAGTATATTGCAGAATTTAGACTCAGTCGGTCTCCAGAAGCCGAAAAGATGAGAAGAAGAAATTCGACAAGAAAATTAGAGACTGTATACCGGCAACTTGTCAATGTCGATCTTGATGAACATGACTTCTGTGTATTTAGCAGCAAATTCCTCCATGGCAGGCTCCATGAGTCGACAAGGTCCACACCATGTTGCAGTGAACTGAATGACCAACTACAGCAGCAGCAGCAGCAAATAACATAAAAGAGGAAAAACAACCAGTTAGATGAATAGCAAAGCAAACAACTCATGAAATCTGTTTGAGAAAGATCAAGTGTCCTTACCAACTTGTTATTCTCCCTGGAATCATCAATGAAGACTTTCCACTGGCTTGCAGAATGAACCTCCACCACCCCAGGTGGCTTCTTGAAGCTCTCCCTGGAGGTCTCAGCAAGCTTCCATGGGTTTGCAGTTGCAGGTGGTGGTTCCACGAACCCAGATGGAGCGGGTCTCTTGTACGAATAATATCCACCAGGGTTGGGGAACTTGAAGTCGAAGGAGCTTCCTAGGGTCGACCTTCTTCTCTGGAAAAGAGGGAAATTGTAACTCATAGCTGTTACTTTGTATGATTGGTCTATTTGGGCTGTATCGGGAAGAAGAACACTCTGGCTTGGAGATGTAACTTCGTGGGAAGGATCCTTATATAGAGAGATCTGGAGTGGCCGCAAAAGAAAGAAATCTGCAGCAAAGTTGTCATTGGCAAGCTGGGGAATATGATTCTTACTACAGAGAGGCTGCAATGCTTTGGACCGCAGAAACCAAAATGGCAAAGGATTAGATGCAGGTTAACGAAATAATTTATAATTTGTAGTGCAAATGTATTGTGAAGCATTATTACTATTATTAATTATTGGCTTATAATAACATAATAATTATATCTTCCATCAAAGTGGAAACCATTGAAATGGTGAAAAAGAAAAAGGATAGAAAGAACAGATCCAATGCCAGCCACAAATCTTTGTGCAAGCATTAGAGTTTGGTTGACGACTTGCTTTGGTTGTAAGAAGATTGAAATAGAAGGTTTAGGAAAAGAATATTTGATACCGTTTGACTAAACTTCTTAATAATATTTTATGACCCCTAGTTGGAGGGATCCATATTCTTTTCGAGTTGTCGATATGAGTGAGCGAAACTTTATTTCGAACATCTAGAAATTGAGATTCTTTTGAGATTGCAAAAGAGTGTTTTCCCCACTTAAATGTGTGAAGTATCACTATGTTGTATGATACTGTTGACATATACAAGTGCCAGACTAATCATACAAGGTAACATATTGGTTCATTGCGTTTCCTTCGGCTTTAAAGTAGTGTCAAGTTGCATCACGATCCTCTCTGAAACATGAAAAGATTGAAATGAGGCAAAATAGATCATTCAACTTCACTCTTACCAGCTGCATTGGTGTTTTACCAACCTTGGATTGACATCCGAACACGTTTTTGAATTAAATTAAAAAAGTTTAAGTTCGTTACTTGTTGGCGGGTGAAAGATCTCTGCACCAGTATGATAAATCGATATGAGAATAAAATTTCTTAACGACAAGCATTGCATTCTATTGACTAGTTTTAGCATGGAGACATGGCGAGACCAAACAGAATCGACGAGGCCAGAAATTGGCTAACGAACAATAATATGATATTAAGTTAAGTAAGAATAACAAAATTATGAAGCCAAACATTAGAACTTGTTCATCACCTATCTTGCACCTTTCTTGGACTTGTATTAACGCCTAAGGTACTTCATTTCTTTTTGTCCATGTAACTTATTCTTCTTGAAATCCGTGGCAGACGTGAGGTTTTGGAGAGATATGTCGGTCATCAAAATGAAAAATACGTAAATAAGCCAAATACATCATTTCATTACTTCTCAAAACGAGTCACGACAACATTTCCACATTAATTTAGTGATGTGTCAATTGAAATTTTCGGAGGTGTGTTAAAATTTCTCGTATTTAAGTTTTTATAATGACAAAATATGAATTTCTCGTCAAAATCTTGGATGGACGTGTGTCTGGCTGACACAGCTATCATACACTTAGCCTGCCTGCTTGGAACCCTGGTGAAATCACAATGTGACTTGGTGAAATCATTCTTGTCACATCACTCAACCTTCTGAATAGAAGGAAATCTCACAAGAGGAATTATTGGAATCTCGATCTCATTCACCTGAGAGGAAAGTGACAATCTTTTGGCAAATGGAATTGAATTGGCCCCCTAATTATTTATTCCCCACTACAAGTATAGCTCCAATCCCTAGCTATTAACGGAAGTGTTATTAGGAATATAATTTTTGTTTATAGTCGGTTATGAGCGAGAAAATCGAACAATTGGTGTAGTTTTATATAAAAGAAAATGCTTAAACATAAGAAAAGAAGGGACTAATTCATACAAGTTTTGTTTACGTAAACAACTACAACATGTTTTCATATTTTGAGGAAAAAAATTGTGAATGCGTTTATTGTCTATTCTACAATGTTTTTAATGTACCGCATCAAGTAATAATTCTAGGAATAACAAATTAAACCCGTACCGTCGGATATTACCCAACCTAACCTGTGCTTGGTGTGGGACGGATACAGGTATTGAGGTACCCGCCCTCCACTATTGCCATCACTAAATATTTCGTGAATAGTATAGGTAGCTAGCCTATTCGACTCTGGGGTTTATTTAATTAATCTGAGTTTAGTTGAAAAATGAAAAATGTTCTTTCCGCACTTGTAGTTACAAGTGCTAAAACCAGCACTTTACGAGGATTCCAAAGTACGTGCAAGTAGTGGAACAACTAGCTAGAAACCAAATTCGAGAAGGTTAACAATTAGGAGAAGAAGATGGACCTCTACGTCGTCATGAACATCCATATGTTCTTCTCTGTACGTACGAGGATTCCATAGTATGTGGAAGTGGAACAAACTAGCTAGCTAGATGGGGAAAGAATCATACCCATGCACTGGCCGATAAAACATATTCTATAAATTATTACAAAGAAGAGGAACAATAATCATCAACGTCCCTGTCCAGCAGGCAGGCACTAATTCACCCAATAATCATGATAAGCCTGCTTTTTTCATATCATTTTGCAAGGATGTTGAGATAAACTGTTGTCAATTGTCATATCTTTGATTTCAGGGACGATTGGAATGGGATAAACGTGCCAAACAGTCGGCAAATGTTGAGATGCTTTTCAGATATGCCTTTTGAAAAGTGAAAATTTGCGGGTTGTGAGCTTCTCGTAATTAATTGGTTCAATAATTTGAGTTATTGGAAAAGATTTATAAAAATGAATTTCATATCATTCTCTTAAAATGAAATTCAGCTTTTGTGATAGAATTTCGGATCTAATCATCTTCATCTAGGGTTTTGTGATTGAAAGTAGTAAATAATTTGGGATTAAGAGTAGAGTTAGGAATTGGATTGGAGGAAGAAGGAAGGAATTGGCTCCCAAAAGGGGAGGGTGGCTGACGACTAGGGGTGGGCATCGCTTGATTCGGTCCAAGACCGGACCAAACTATTCTCGGACCGGACCAAATTTTTTTCTAAATCAAGGATCAAAGTCGAATTGTTATTACTTCGATTCGGTCCGGATCAAACCATATATGGCTCGATTCGGTCTGGACCATCTTATTGGACCGGCTAATCTTTCATTCGAATAGAATCACTCTTAAAGGACAACACAAGAATTAAAAAAATATAACTAAATAAAAATAAGTAATCAAATTATCCAAATTTAAATACTCCACAATTTTTAAAACCCACATGTTCCAAAATATTATGCAAAAAGCTAAACGAGAACTACTTAACTAAAAGACAAAAATCTTTTTATTCAATCTAAAAGTAGTCTAACTAATTGCCTCTCTAATCTTTCCATTTTCATTTCCAGAGTGCACATTGGACCTCCCAATTTGCATAATTTCCACTATTCATTAGAAAGGAGTTTAACAAAATGATACTTACTCCAAGAACTAGTGCAATAAAACAAATTATTCTTAAACTTGCTAATCTGCAGTGGTGTTGTCAGACTTGGCATGAGCATCTGTGGTGTCATTTATTCACATCTTCTCCATATCTGAAACATTAAACAAGAAAAGAGAACAACATATAAATACCTGGTTCACAGTGTGTAGGTAAAGTAAGCAGCTCTCTTGATCGAAGCAACGCGGATGAGAAATCTGATTTGAGGGTAGGACTATAGGAGCAGGAGCGGAGAGTCAAAGTCAAGAAAAGTCAATCATATTTATAGGTAATTAAGTGGCATGTAGGGTACTATGGTTTTCAACTCCAAGTCGACTTTCCTTCTCAGAGCCTAATAAAATAGGCAATTAATTTAATTACGATTCGGTCTGGTCCTTAGCTTGATTTTACAGTTTCGTTCTGGACCGAATCAAACCGAAAATGTCCCAAATTCGAATTGAAAGATAAACAGTTCGATCTGATTCGGTGTGAGAGTCGATTCGGTCAGATGTGAATCGAATCGTTGCCCACCCCTACTGACGACGCCAAGGGGAAAGAGAGGGAGGCGGATTTTCGGTTGGGAGAGGAAGAGAGAGATTAAGTTTAAAAAATAATGGATCTATAATTGCTTAATGCAAAAATCTCACTAATTACCTGCAACGAGAGTGAAAGTAGAAAGGGTATTTTCGTCTACACAATCAATTTGTTATTCCATATGAAAATATATCAATGCTAGAATTTGAACCATGGTCTCATCAAACAAAGACAATAATTGTAACCAATTAGACTAGACACATTTGTTGTACTTTATTAATACAAAACGTAGAGGAAGTTAAAATTATGAAAAACATAGTACTTTTCTATCACGGTTAGTTAGCCCGCTAAGTCTCCTGTAAGTATTTTGTGGTGTTTGATAATTCTATTTTCATATTTCAATAATTAATTTAGAATTTTTCTAACTTATAAATGAAGGATAATCTTAAAATCTCAACACAAATATCATTGGTTGGAATATTGCGCATTGAATTGAAGTGTTCAATGACGACATAAGAACATTGGTACCATACATTTCAAGAAAAATAAACATGAAAGACACTGATACCAATTATCTCGACAGTCTATGCTAAAATTCGAATTTGTTTAATCATTCAATTTGAGTGATAGTTTAGTCAAAGCAACCAAATAATTCACGATTGTGTATGAACAAAAATAAAAACATATGTATTGTATTATGAAAAATATATTTATTTTAACAATCTAAAAAAACAATCAAGACTTCCATATACAACCCCTTTTTTCAGCATTGTAATTAACGAAACAATTTTTATCAAGCTATTGTCCAATTATTAATCACCAGTATATAGTATTTAGCTTAGTAAACTATTTCAATATCCACAACTAACTATTAATGATTACTTGCTTTCTGTTTGAGGGTTTAATGTAACACTCTTATGCCTACACTCTAAGCATTTTCTTTTCTTTTTTCCAATATTTTTTGCAGTTATTTGTTAAATCAACTATGTTTCTAGCTTTTCATTCCTAATTATTCACTGCTCCCTACCAACTTATGGGAATGATGAATATTTTTTTCATGTATAATCTATTGACTATGAATGTTGCTTATTACTTAAATTCAACGGTATCCATGTTAGGTTTGATGTCTCCAACATATTCTCACAATTTCTCAAAAATGCATCATTTCTTGCGATTGATATCATAGTTTTGTTAGGTAAAGTTCAACAAACTCAATCAATATTCGAACTGTTTGAAGTAGCTATCTACTTGTGAATATGAAGTATTGAGTAGCTAAAACTCAAGTTTATAATTGTTTTATACCAAATGGTATAATTAATTCATTTATGAGCTGAAATAGCTAATTGTAAGCACTTTAATTTTTAAGTTCGAACTCATATGATACAATTGTTTGACGAAATGGTTTTTATCATAGAGTGGTTCTATCGAGAGAGGTCTCAAAGAAACATTGCTTACTTTATTAATCCTTAGGTAGATATAATACATATCTTCATCGTTACTTTTACAATGGATTCAATTTAGTATACTTTTTCGTTCAGATAGATTTTTTTAATAATTTTTTGGGATATAATATATCATTATTGTATGATGGTGTAGGATATTAGTTCCTCTCATTTTAGTTCCTTTCAAGCTACTTTCACAGTAGCCATCGCCAGTAGTCAACCCAATGTTGACGTCTCCAACATCATCCCGACGTCTACACGATTAGTCACGGTTTCCATCGAAAGAAGAGCCAATGTCCACTCCGGCCTTCAACTTAAGATCCGTACTGTAGCGGTATTTTCTCCTCCGTAGTTAGACGTTGAAGTCCTTCCCGCCATCGAGAACGAGATCTCTTGCACCCACCGCCCCGTCAGTCTATCATCATCCAGACGCTATTTCCCTGCTGCTCGGTAGTGCTTCATCCTCTCAATGGTGTCAACCTTGATAAATGTTCATGCACATGGGAGACGATCGTGTGTACATTAAGCAAAACAAAATTCAATTTTTTTGAATAATGCCATGTTCCCCAAAGCAATTTCAAAACTAGTGTAGTTGCTATGAAGGATATCCTCATCATGAGACTAAAGACCATTCGAGATTTTTGGATACACATACAGTGCTTATCACTATCCTTTGTGAGTTCTTAAACTCCTCCAAACGAGTCTTTTGCTCTTAAAAGCTTAATGGGGTCGAACTGGTTCTTTACACATTCGAAAATCCTACCTGACAAAGCAATATAAAAGATGTTGCCTTCACAAATAAATTATAGGGTGAAGCAACTATGAGACAATCACTCATTTCACAGAGGAAATATGAACGGTTCAACCGCCTATTGGCTCGCGACAGTACCATTTTACTTAACTAGTACAATTCCTTGGCGAGTAAAGTTGTCATTTGAGAATTGTGCTTTGAGGCTACGGGTGAAGCTTCATCCACTCCTCTATTGCATTGCCTCTCCACACGGATCGAGGAAAATGAGTTAAACGAAGCTCTTATGTGAGTGCTAAGGTACAGAAATTGTACAAATTAAAATAAACCCGCTTGTGCTACAAAAAGTTCAAAAATTGGCATGCTACGTATAAAATAGAAAACAGTTAAACTCTCGTTGTCAAACATAGGTAGAGATCCACTTTAACGTCCAAATAAAGCTACAAAGAGTTTCGGCCCAAAATATTGCGACTCTCGTGTTGAGTTAGGAACTTATGATCGATAGAGATAAGTCATATTGTCCATACAAGATATGCACCTCATTGATGTACTCTGGTTCTCTAAGTTGAGTGTTGACCTTGTAAGCTACTTATGATTTACTACCTACGATCAAAAGTCACGTGTAATTGTAGAGGTCGTCTAGTGAATTGTACGATTATGAGTGAGGTTTGCACCAGAAAAGGCTGTGAACTCCACGTCTACACCACCTTCACAAAAGAAAAGGAAGTCCGACGGTCAAAACTTTAAAGTCATGAACAGATTAACTGCATAAAGATATGAGTTCTGTTTTGTGCTTCCACACTAGTTTGTTGCTTCCCCTCGAGGTAACGAGGCATGACTTCCTCCAGTGGCCTAAAAAACTTGATGAGATGGCTGCCTCTGCTGTGGGTGGTAACCAAATGTTACTTTCTCTGGGAAAACTGCGTTGTTGACATATTTGGAGACAGATTCTCGTAAGGAGTTGCTCGCTTGGAGCAGTGTATGCGTTCTGGAAATGGGTTTCTTTCTGTCAAATGGTTGAGATTCTCTTGTGACATTGCTTCTTGCTTCTATATGGACCGTTAGAGACCAGAGTTGGAAAGGGCGACTTAGCATTTTCCACAGTGAGTGGAGATCTACTGGACCCCACATTGTAACTTTTCTTTCTGATGGCTTGTGCAATGTATCAGAACCCAGAAGCAACAGTATGCAAAAGAGAATCAAAGGAGGCTGATGGTTTTTAGAGGCATGGTTCTCAATAGAATCAAAGGAACCCAACAACAGAAGTAATGACCGATCAAAAATACCTTTCTTCCATGAAGTTTTCCCGGATGATGATGTTTGCCCAAAAGTCTGAACTACAAAAACAGAGGAGCTAGGGTGTCCTTTGATGGGCTCGAGTGAGATTCGTCGACATTAGAAAATGAACCCATGTTTCAAAACAAAGTTTCAGAGCTGCAGCAGAGCCAAACAACAAAAACTGGAAAAGGAGACCAGGGGTTTTTTCAGCACCCACCAACAAAATATGACACCCAAAGAGATCAGCCATCGCTCACTTGCTCAGCAATATTATCATCATGAGGCCACCCCCACGTCGTTGTTGTAAGGCTGGCCAGCGTTGCCACCACCTCTACTGCCGCCCCTTCCTCCTCGGTTGTTGTGGTAGTTCCTTGGGTAATAGTTCCCTGGCTGGTCATAGTATTGGTTGCTGCTCCTACCATTTTGGTAGCCACCGCCTCCCCTGCCACTGCCTCGGCCACCACGGCCATTGGGATAACCCCTGCGACCGCTGCCACCACGGCCACCCCCTCTTTGGTGCTGGTAATTCCTCCGGTTGCCATATTGTTGCTCCCTAGATTCTGTGTCTTGCTGATTATTATGCTCGAAGTCCGGTGAAGGCTTTGTTTCTTCTTGCTCGCCATAGACAATTTCTTCAGGGTTTTCAAATTGGGGATCATCCTGTGAAGGGGGGATAAGATAAAGCGCCGAATGAATCATCTGAGAAACTAATAATTGAAAGAAAATGAGAAATGAATAATGTGTTCAGGGTCAATGCACCTTCTGAAATTCCTCAGTGGGATTTGACTGATCATCGCCAACATCTTGTCCTTGCGAAATTGCTGCATCTTCATGCTGCACAAAGGTCATTGTTCTTGAGAGTTCATACAAAATGGACCTTCAGTGACTCCATAATTGTACTCATCACAAATGCATTAGAACAAGAAATGCATTGGTGATATACAAAAGGGTGTCTGATGGAACAAGACAGTTTACTTGAGATTTATTCTGGAAACTGGTTGAAAATCTCAACTCCTATGGACATAAAAAAAAACAATGGAGCTAATAAGCGAATGGTTTCCAGCACTTCCTAACAGGCATAAGGCATACCCAAGGGGCAAAAAATCTAACAAGCGGGAAAGACTTCTTTTCTCAACTCTGTTGCTTTGTTACGCTACAACTTTAAAGAGGGATTGGACCAGGCAATATATTAGTAGGCTTCACATCTAACTCTTATTAATTAAATGTAGCCTGATTCTGCTAGCTGACCTTGGCTCCATTTTGTAAATGAATCCACACTGAAGAAAAGCAACAAAGGAATACCCAAAGGTGAACTTAAGGATGTAGCCTTGCCCGCAACAGATGACTTTAACTAGTAGTATCACAAAGTCAGATTCAACCAGATGCACCACAAGAACCATCCAGCAAACGTTAGGCATGCGGATGACCTCTTCAAAATGTAAGTAACCAAATAGCTGGTAACAACCAGCATACAACTCAAACCCACTTGAAATATGAATACCTTCAATTCAATATGATAACAAAACCAACTTAATCAACTCCGTAGCACCTAAAGGAGGAAGCATTTAGCAACCCAAATGAGCATAATATATTTTCTTTCTATGCGGATTTATTAGGATCGCCCTAAGGGAACATGCATATACTAATCTGCTCACTTAAGAGGAATGTGCGCATTGAAGATAAGAATTCTATGAACATAGCACCAGCTATGTACAATGGAGACGAAAAGAAGAATCCATAGACAGCGACAATTGATCACCCATCAGTCAGATACTCCTCACATGTCAATGGAGTCATCAGTCATCCACACATACCACAACCGAGTAGTCACAAACACTGCCTTCCACATAACCACCGCGACCCTGTTTTTTATGGTAGACTGCTACATAACAGACTACAGTATCTGTAAACTGAAAAGTCTTTTAACAAGACAACATTACAAACTGAATAATTTCCAGCATATAATTGCGGAACCAATATGAAACCAAGCAACACGGATAACTTCCAATCTCTATGCACTCACAACAGGACATGGTTGACAACCTACGAAAAAAATCCACACATTCTATTGCTATAATCAAGGAGCAAACCCAATGAAACCGCTAGAAAACCTCATATCAAATAGACAAATACAGAAGAACCCTACGTTCCCAGCATAATGAATAATTAAATAGGCTTACGTGTTGCTAATAACACTTGGTGGTAAGCAACGGTTATACTATGATTGATAACTTTAAGAGGCCGCATTGCAACAAAATTAACCACCAGCATCTATATATTTGCATTCGACCGACAAGGAAAACAAGATATAGTACCTGAGGCTGGTAATCCACAGAGTGGCTCTCAACCTGAACAGGAACTGCAATGGGCATCCCGTGCACTGGTACTTGAAAATGGGCGTAATTACCAGCAGCTGCGGCGGCAGCAGCAACCTCCATGGAAGCTTTCCTTTCAGGGGATGTGGTGAAATAGTCGGAAGCCATAATCTTGTTGAGTCTCTCCCTCAATCCTGCATCTACAGCACACAAAAGTCCCACCAAAGTTCAAAGACATTGAAGCCAAATAGACAAGGCAAGGGGAGAAATATAAGGGCAGACGAAGAAGTAATTACAGGAAATGTCGGCATTGCTATCGACTGGACAATCGGCATTGGCCAGCCACAACTTGGCGTGCTCAACGCACCGCTGCAGAGCATTCTTGTGGGACAAGCTCGAATCCACAGGGCGGGACAAGAGCAACCCACTGAGAGTAGAAATCATGTCCAAATCTCTCTCGCTCAGCAGATCGGTAGCATCGTCCGTCACGTAATCGTAGGTCAAGCAGCAACCCCTCTCGTGGGTCCGGCTCAACATCGTCGCCGTGAAATCGTTCTGCGACTTCACATCGAACAGGGCGCCGAAGTACAACAAATTCAATAGATCCCCAACCATAGCATCGAAATTTTCGGGCTGACTCCCCTCCACTTCTTCTTCTTCTTTGCCCTCGGCCTCGCCAATCTTCTCCTCTTCCACCGCGGCGGCCACAACAGCAGCGGCGGCGGGTTGAGACTCGGTGCGATGCCGCTCGATTGCGAGCTCGATTTCCTCGGAGACGGCGACGGAGAGAGGCTGGCGGAGCTTCTCGAGTTCGTCGATTGCGGCGGAGACGGAAGGTTTGGAGCGGAGGGTTTCCGTTTGTTCGTTGTTGAGTGCCTTGCCCTGGGCCACGGACTCTTCCATCTGGATGATTCGGTTGTATTTCTTGCGGAGGGCGCGCAGGCGCTTGTTGATTAGGCTGAGGACGGGGCCGTCGGCGGATTCAGGGAAGGGAGTGGCCGCCATTGCTGAGGGGAGGGTTTAGAGTAGATGAGGATGAGTTGAGGTGACTCGCGGGGGCGGAACGCGCCACCGGCACACGGCGGGGGTGTAGATGTGGGGCAGCGGTGGCGGCGTAGTCGGGAAGTGGGGGAGAGGAAGCGGCGGAGAAGATTGGGGAAGAAGAATCGGGGGAGAGAGAGTGGGGTTTAATATTTGATTGATTGATTAGAGGGAGTGCATAGATCAGTGGGAGAGTGAGATAGTTCTTTTTCGAATTTATTTTCCTTTGCAGTTTCCACTGAATAAAATTTGGGAAGAATAGAAGAGAGGTTTGGGTTGGGCCTACTCCGTTCTACCAGCTACGAGCCCGAAACAACAGTTTATGGGCTATTCATGGGCTCATACCATGCTTACTGCCATTTACCAGAACGAATGAGTTTCCATAACGTAATAGAATGTGTCCGTGGATTGTTCCATTGGGCTCTCTATCAATGGACTCAAATAAGCATCTACACCGTCGTGGTGGATATTTGTATGGAGAAGTAGGAATGGCAAATCAGATCTGATTCGGTGGATTTTATCCGATCCGACCTGTAATGGGGTGGATAAAATTCGATCCCCGTTTGGACGGAGCGGATCTCGATTCGATCCGCTATTAAAACAGAGTAGATATGGATTTTGCCTTCTGCTTCGCCCTGCTCTGATATGCTCCGCTCCATTGTCAGATACCCTACAAAGCTAAAGAGAGAGACAGGCGGCAGCTAGCTATCCATTTTCTAGAGAGACCCAAATTCCCAGACCCTGCGTGACATCCCTTATGCCTTTATCGAAATCATTCCTCCTCTCCCAATTTCCAATCCCCGTTAATTTTTTCCAGTTCCCAAACCCCATCCCAATTAAATATCTCTAATTAATTCCATCACCCCAATCGATAAAAGTCTTCTCTGCAAATACAATCCTGGATTATTATTTTATCTCTTCATTCCACGGTCATAGCACTCTTATCCGTGTTAGAACATCATGATGTTCATAGGACTCTCTCGCCGATCGCGAACAGGGGAGCAACAGTCGATGTCGACCACTCAGATCCTCTGTCATCATCATCTGTGTCCCACCTTCTCCGTCGAGATATCTGCAGCGGTCACGCCTCTGTCTTGCGGGTTGAACTAGTCATCGCCATCATCTCCGCTCACCGGACGCCGTCCTCACCAGGCGGAAATCGCCATCGTAGCCTTTGTCGTCAACTTCCGGTCGTCTGTACCGTTGGGCCTTCCTCATATATGTCTTGTCGTCGACCTCTCAGCTTTCCCAGTCGCTCCTTCGCATGTAAGAGTCTCTGATCCTCCCTTCTAAGTTCTAAGGATGGAGCAAGGCGGATTTTATCCGCCCCGCACCGAAAAATGTTTGGGGCGAAAATTGACGACCCGTCGTGGGGGCACGGGGCGGATCAGATAAAAAATTCCAGGACAGCGCAGGACACAGATGTAGCACTATCCGCTCTTTTCATGCCGCGTTGTCATTCCTATGAAGAAGAAGGTTAATTTGACCATAGAATTTTTATGGTCACACAATTGTATTACTTGGTGTTTCGAAAGTTATGACAAATAAATAAATGCGATCGTGGTAGACCTGGAAAATTACAACCTGACATGTTGACCCGACTCGAAACCGCCCTAAAAATAGAAGTGTTTATAACTCGAAACCCGAATGACTCGAACTCGATAACCCATGATTTTTGGGCCGGATTGGGTGGGTTAGCTTGTCGACCTGTTAGATCCGTTCCATTTTATATATTACTCCCAAAATGATAAAATCACTCATAAATTGGTGAGATGTTTAAAAAAATTCACAAGTATTTGAATGACTAACTCACTATGACACACCCAACTACGACCAAGTGTAATCGTAGGAAGGAAATGTAGAATAGTGGTTCAGATTAATTTATCAACCCAGGGTCTAGATCTACTTTCTACTCCGTAAACTTCTATTATCTAGCAAACTAAGTGTAGTGAGTGGTTCAATTGCAAAATAAACAAAATGCAAGAAATGTTCCGATTTTCCAAGTATGTTAAAGGCCATCCAGGTATGTTTCCCCTACTATGCAGCTAGTTCGGATTATATATTCTCAATTTATTCAGATTGAAAGATACATTGTGGAAAGTTCTTGACAAGTCTGGAATCTCGACTAAAGAAGACCAGACCCTCTTGGTTCGAATACCCAGTGGGCGACTAACCTCCACCGGCATAAACTATCAAGGCACTAATACACCGAACTTCCTCTATTGGCATTAATTCCAGTACAGAGCAGTGAACCGACTTCTCGACTAAAGCAGTCGATTCACCACTTCCAATTTAAGGTTTCTATTTTAGCCTATGGAGAGACTATCGTTCTAGGTTAAAGCAGGAATCACACATGTTTAATCAAGACTCTTGCAATTCTGATTAATGCCCCAATTGAATATATCAAATCAATCATTTGCAAACGGGGTTCATGCAATCATTTCTAGCATACAAAACAAGAGTTTTTCATACCCAGATGAAAGCGTAGTTTACTCCATGGAGAGAAGTGGAAACATCATGCTAGGAGGAGAAATCATCATGTGGACAATGAAAATCTGCTCCTGGCGGCTACTCGATACTCCAAGGATGAGGAATCGAGCTCCGAGGTCTTCAGATCGCTTTAATCCTTGCCCAAGGGTTGTCCTTCGTCACTCTCTCTCTCTAGGGTTCTCTTTCTGCCCTTAGAACTTAAAAAATCTGGATCCTTTGCCCTTTTCCAATTGTTGATTATTCATTATCAACATTGGCATTATGCTGATTTTATATTTCGTATTTATTTTCTTGTAATTTTGTTAAAGAACTTAACGTTCAAATGAACTTCTTATTTTTCGGTAATTTTATTGAAAATACATAATATCAGGTGAATTTCACATTTTGAACCTTTCTTTACAAAAACACAAAATGATTTTACTTAGGTTTAGAACAAAAAAATAAACTTCATTTTGAATGACTATATATTATATAACATAGTTATTATTCAAGTCAATCGGGCGGATCACAAGTTAGTCGGGTTCAGGCCAATCAGATTTCGGGTGAATAACCGTTAGTCAATTCAAGTTGTGATCGGTTGCAAGTCGAATTAACCGGACTGATGACTCGGGTGGGCTTCTTTTTCCACACCTCAATACTTCATGGATAATTGGATATACTTCGGTTTCTTGCCAAGTTTTGTTCACTAGAAAGCATCTCAGGTAGCCATTTCAGAGTTTCCAATTCCTCGTCGTCTTCAGTGGCAGTGGTAGTGCAATTATTGCCTCTCAATTCCACAAATCAAAATTATTGATCTGGTGCGGAAGGTGGAGCAAACAAGTGAAAGACACCAATCATCCCATGCACGGCCGGCCACACCACTGACCACACCGCATATTTCAGATTCCACCCAAGGGGAGGACAGATAAATTCTTAGGACGTCCGTAAACAATATTTCCTTAAAAAGAAGAAAACAGTGATATACACACAATCTCAATGATTAGGCCTAAACTTTGATATCTCAAGGATATAGGCCTAAACTTTGATGTAAACATTCAGCTTAAGAAAAAGAATAATGATTTTTGGGTGGTCATGGTGTACTTATCTTGAGTCGTCTGTGAAAAATTTATGCAAGCGACATTTAAATTTTTTTTGTTCAACTATCTTCTTGAATCGGAAGTCATGAATTGTTTGATCACAATAATTTGAATTGTTGAGAGAAAGTTAATTGTGAATTCTATACCACTCTCACGTTACATGCCCCCTTAAATCAAATTCAACTTCAGGGCTTCAATTTTGTACATGTTCACCATTTAAACATTGGTAGTCCTGAAGATATGAACGCACAGCCACTCTGTCAAATTAAACCCGCTCTTATATTGTAAAAAACAATAACAATATGTCCATCCTTTTTCCTATGATTCAGATTTTGATGGAATCACCAAAACTTCAGTTTTGGAGATGATTAATGGAAACTTCACATTAATTAATTAATATAAAGCTAAATCAGCTTTACTGTTCACTAAGAAGTAAGAACATTAACCTAATATAATCTCATCAGTGCAATTTTGGTCCTGGTAGTTAACCTATTATAATCTCATTAGTGCTATTTGGTCCCTGTTTTTTCTTATTGTGAGTTACTTTTCATCTCCTTTTTTTTTTTAATTGTGAGTTACTTTTTTATATTTTATTACAAGATTCATTTTACTGTATTTTAAATTTAAAGTATTGGTGTTTCGAGTTACTAATGTTAAAGGTACATGTTCAATTTGTATAATAAATGCATTTCTATCTTTATGTTATTGTATAAGTTCGGTTTGTTTATGCCATAAGATAATAGTACAAATTCAATTTGTACCATATAAGATTTTGTCCAAAAAAATATAGGTACATTAAACGTACAAGTTCAGTTTGTACCGTAAGACAAAACACTAAAACATACATGTTTTAAAACATTATACAATTCCTGTTCAAATAATCTCTCTACAATTCAATACTTTGAAATTAGCTTCTCATTATTGTATTTCGTTGGTAATGGATGACATACATATTTGGTTTAATACACTTGTATATCCAACACTTTCACGGTTGTGCCAATAATATCCAAATTTCCCGAAATACCACTTATATCCATGTTTTAAAGTTGTTCTTTGCCAAATCTATCCATTTCCCAATATATTTTTGGTTAAATACACTTGTATATAAAAAAACACCGTTAAAGAATGTGAAGGAATTGGATATAAGTGGTATTTCGGAAAATTTGGATATTATTGGCACAACCGCGTGAAAGTTTTGAATATACAAGTGTATTTAAGCTACATATTTTTTTGAAGTAAAAATCTCATCGAAGATCAAAATGGTCAATTCTTCTCCTACGGTTTTGTGATTCATTATCTACTTTTTCTTTGTTTCATTTTCCAGTCGCCTTCCATATCTCTTTCTTTATTTGCTTTCTTCATCCCGCCCTAATTAGATATTATTAATATGTATTCTAATTCATAAGTATAAACAGTTCTATTCACGATTCACCAACTGTCTAGAATTCATAATTGAACTATGAATCACTATTTTATTTTGTTGATAAGAGTCAAAACTAGATATCGTCTTACTATCGTTCAGTTAAAGAGAGAAGGATATTTGATCATTTCGATCTTGGGTCCGGATATTTTACTTAGAAAATATTTATTTTGTCCAATAAAGCACTACCATAAAAGAATTTG